TCTTAAAATTATTTCATAAATATATTGTTGGGGGGTTTGATAATTCTGTTGAATTTTGTTTTATTATTTTTTATATAATTTAATTAACAGAAAAATTATAAATATAATTATGGATTTTGATAAATTTTGTATTTTTTTTTTATTTTTTTACCAAGTATATTCGACAGCCATTGGCTGTCGATTATACCTATATTCGACAGTCAATGGCTGTCGATTATATAATTATATTCGACAGAAAAAATTTCTGTCGATTATAGTTATTTTCGACTGTTGTTTTTACGTCAAAAATTGTTGTCGATTATGTCTGTCGATTAAGATATAATCGACAGAAATACTTGTATAATCGACAGTATTTTCTGTCGATTATACTGCGTTTTCTAGTAGTGACAGTCAAACAATTTTTTTTTTCTCTCCCGTGCTCCAAACTCCTCCGGCTAGGGTTTGGAGTCGGCGGGCCTTTTCCTTCAGGAACCCTCTCCGGCAGCGGAGCCCCTCTACTTTCTCTTCCGTCTCTGCGTCGAGCCTCTGATCTGTGGTCTTTGGCCGTTTCTAATTGGGGCATCATAAATCTGGTGCCTCTCCTCAACTTTTGTTTCTGCAAATCGCGGGGGGCGTTTCCAGATCTCTACAATTTTGCTCTGTTTCGCAACTTGGGCGGAGCGTGCTAGATCTCTGCAAAACTCCTCTGTTTTCATCACTGAACATCCATCCCGATCATGGCAGCAGATGAATCGGGTTCTATGCTCAATCGGATTCGGATTGCAGAGAATGAAGATGGATTTCTCCCACTGCATATGGTTTGGAAACAGGAAGATGCTTGGAATTTCAATATTGCCATGCCTCTGTATTGCTTAGATCTAGGGTATCCGAGCGGTAGTCATTGGAGGCTGATTGGTTTTTTCGGTCATAAGCCAAAGGAAAAGGATGAGGTTGGTGAAGTCACTACGGGGGAGAATGCCACTTCAGTCTCAAAAGGGGCTCTAGTTCCCTTATTGAAATTTGGCAACAAGGGCTTGCAAAGGATTGGAATAGTTAGGGCATGGTTGGGAGCCCATGGCAACAAGGAAGGTGCCTGGGTTTGTATGGAGGAGCATGGCCCTCCTATTGATTGAAACTATTTTAGGGACGACATATAGTGGGTTGGGGACTGCTGATGTCGAATTTTCCCTGCTCTCCTCGTGAAGCTGGCTAAATAGGTGAAGACGTCCAGTAGTTTCAGACACTCATAGCGACCTCTTTTTCTACTTTTGTAGCCCTATTTTTGCCCTTACAATGATTGTAGCTACAATCTTTAGTCACAGATGGCCCTCTTCGCTTAATTGTCCATATATGTCATGGGCACAGTTTAAATCTATTACTAATGCTGTAGGTTACGCTTCTGTCCTTAATTTGGCTATACTGCCCTGCTTGAGATTCATCTGTAATCTCTTTATATTTAATATAATTCTCTATTTCCTATCAAAAAAAAAAAAAAAACATGTTATTTAAT